TATTTTAAAATAAAAAAAATAAAAAAACATAGTTGGCGTCAGTAATTATATTGGTGTAAGAATAAGTGGTATTCTAAAAAGTTCGAAGTGCACTTCAAGATTCATTATATATCTTCAAAACTTGTGTTTTCCGGAAACAGGTACGTAGTTGCGATCCGTAAGCTTTTGGATAACAAACTCGAAACATGCATGCATTGATATATGCGTGGGAAAACCTGATTGCTCCTTCCATATAATGGAATGGAGTATGGACCTTTCAACTAGACTTTATTATGCATGCACGCACTGTGTTGTTGAACTATTGATTAAGAATCTGGTACGGCGCCAAGCTTCTCTTGATCTTCTTGATCTCTTTTCTTTTGCTCTTCCACTTCCTCTTCCTCTCTCTCTTTTTGCGTCTTGCAAATTTGTTTATCGATTTTCACTAAACTTGGAACATAACAGATAGGGCAAAATGGGGTCAAAGATGTTTTAGTTTTTCCAAGATTCATTTTTCTCAAGTATCCCTTCTCTCCAATAATGTAAGAATGAGCGCAGTAGTCATCATCATCTTCTTCTATATCGAAAAGCACGGCATTCTACATTCATAAGAAAATCAAGACCGAGTGGCTCAACGTCAACTTTGAAGAAGGGGATCCACGACACAGGCATTGGGCTCTATCTTAGTAGTAATCCAAATGTCTATCATAGCCGATATATGTATCATAGTATTGATATAACCCCGCGAGTTTCTCTTCTTTAACATGAGAAAAAAATCCAAAAACCTGTTCTGCTTTACATAGAATGATAGAATCCGATCTTTGGATAAAGCATTCCATCATTTGCAAGTACATCTCACTGCTCCAAGACAAGTTGTCGGAACCTTAGACAATATCTCCACTACCAAATCCTGCGAAAGTTAAATCTTTGGCGGCGAAAGTTAAATCTTTGGCGAAAAAAAAAAAAAATCGGATATCATCGTCACTGATTCAAGTACGTATAGAGGTTAAGGTTTTTTAACTTCAAAGCTTGCCTACTATTTAATTAGCTATTAGTATATGCTTTTTTCTAATAACCCTAACCACGCCTTGAACCTTTATATAGCTTCTCTCACCGAGTTAAATATTTAATGCGATTTCTAGGTTATATCTTCGGAAAATGTTCTATTTTTAACTTTCCACAACACAACTTAATCATATCGACAAAAAGAGTAAAAGTATGATCGTTTTATTACTACAAACTAAAAAAAAGGATGCAAAACGCTCTATAACAGTCAGCAGGACCCGGTCTGCTTGAAGTCCACATTAATTAATTAATACATACACTAATGACACTGAGCTACACTTAAGGGTCCTTTAATTTGTGATGTCTATCAGAATATATAGAACAGTTTGTAGACATTAATAGTAAGAGGCCGGAGGAACCATCGAGAGCATTGTGTGGAAGATGGAGAGGAAAACAAAAGGGTACGGTACCACACAAATGATGAAGAGCATAGTTTGAAAATTAGAAAGATAAAGATTTTTATGAAGAGCAGAGACAGAGAGACTAGTGCAATTTCATTTCTTGTTATTTAGGCTAGCTACATTAGTTAATGCAAGTGGAGAAGAACTTTTATTAAATTTTATTCGTACCTGAATGAAATGAGTCTAAAGTTAATTTGCATCTACTACATATTGTAGTTATTAAGTTGACGTTGTTTCTATGTTAATTAGATCTTCTATATATATTTTTTCCCCTTAAACAAATGAAATCAGATCGGACACCACTTGAATCAAAATCTGTTAATTATGCCGGTAATAAATAATTCAAGATAAAGTGCAATCTTAAACTGTTTCAACCAAACAGAAATGAAATAGTTCTTAACGAGTCTTGCATGTTCAAAGGAAATAACAAAAAACAAAAACAAATGTAAAGGAGCAAGAAAGAAAACTGTATTATTATTGGTTGAGCAGTAGTACTCTCTTGTTTACCTAATGATCCTCCTCTTCCTCTTCTTGTCTTGCATCGTTTTGCGTTCAGCATTTTGGTTGGGCTGCGGTCCTTCATTTTGGTTGATCTTCACCAAACTTGGAACATAAGAGCTAGAGCACACAAGCGGGCAACGATGATACCCGTCTTTTCTGGCCTCCACAGCTTCCCCAAGAACCACTTTTCTCAAGTATCCCCTCTCTCCAAAAACATAAGCTGTGGGGTAACAGCGTTTCTTCTTGCTCCTTTTATCAGATTTCCTATCTAAATTAAAAACCACGGCAACTTTCTTCTCTTCGTCAATGAAGAAACTGCCAGCTTCATCTTCACGTTGAAAACCAAACCTAATGAGTGGTCTCATATCAACTTTAAACAGCTTGCTCCACAACACCTCACTGGGCTCAACCTTAGTTGAAATCCAAATCTCAATCTCGTGTTGATCCCAGCGCTGATATAAAGCAGCGAGTTTCTCTTTTCCAACACAAGAAAGAGTCCCAATGTAGTTCCTACTATTCTTATTAAACGGCATATCAAGAAAATATCTAAAGCTCTCGGACGTGAAATCAAAACACACCAAGTAATCAACAAGATGCTTAGCTTGTACTCCTTTCTGTCGAGTCAAGAAGTAAGCGTTACCATTTACGGCCACGCCCCGGTGATAAGAATCAATCTCCCAGTCTGGAAAATGATCTTGTTCTCCCCAAGATCCAGACTCGACATTGTAGACTTTGAACTCGTAATAATCATCGTACAACCTCAAGATCTTGTGCTTCTTGTCCTTGCCGTAACCGAGAGCAAACATGTCAGATTCTTGGTAAGGCGCTTCGGGCTGTATCCACCTGGTTTCACCCGAATACGGATTCCAAAGCAAGACGCTTGAGTTGTCCCTTGCAACGCATAGCAAGAGCCCATCGGAATAAAACACTTTAGAGATGTCGATTTGACCATCGAAGTTACCTCCAATCTCCTTGATAGATGGACGAACGAACCTTCCACCGTCACCTCTGAGGACTCCATGGAGATTGAACGTCATGGACAGAAACCTATGGTCCATCACCATGAACCGCAGAAACTGCTGCTTTGATTCTCCGCTGCACATGAGCCGGTCTTTGGTTGAGGCGTTCCATTGCTTCTTGGTGCATCTCACTGCTCCTAGAGAAGTTATCGGAGCCCTAGAGAGTATCTCGTCCACCAACTCCTGCGAGAGATCAGACATCTTCGTCATTGTTGTCAAATGGAGAGAGAATTAGCTAGGGTTTTCTTTTGCTATTTGTTTTTAACTTTCAAGCTTGCTCAAATGCCTAGTGCGCCTCCACTCTTATATATGCGGCGGCCTTCAGGTAAGTACGTTTTTCTTTTATAAAAAAGATCTTATTATTATTCAAAAGTCAAAACCCTTGAATTACGCGATCGTGTCTATATATATCATCAATCACATTTACTTCGGTGACTCCTGTGATTATGTTAGTGAATCCTTGTTTTGACTGTGTGTTAGTGGATCCGTAGTAACTGTTCCTAAACAAGTTAAAGACGAACCGTTACTAGAGACTGCATGCCGCCTCTATATAATAAATAAATAATTATAAATTAGGTTTTTTTTTTTTTTTAATTGCCCACTAATAACTTTCGAAAGGATAATAATATATTTGTGATTTATTATCCTTTCGAAATCTTATATAAAAAGAACTAAAATTATATTTAAAAAACATGGACAAACACGAAACACTTTTTTATTTTTTCAACATTTTAAGTCTTAAAACCATTTCCACTCAACAATTCACTAGCATCGTTGCTATTTTTGCATAAGAGAGAGAAAACATCAAAACAAAGACAAAAGAAAAAAAAAATATTTTTGGCATATAAACATCTATACTATTAATTGGGGATCATTATTTGTCTTTGTAGCCAAACAAACTTGAAAAAAAAATATTACAAAATATACAATTTCAAACCTATAGCCAAACACACTAAAAGACAGCAAAAAAATAAATTAAATAACTAAAAAATAAAAAACAAAAACTATCTGTATTTATGGAAATCATTTTAATTTTGTTACCATAAAAAATGGACAATTAAATTCGAAATTAAACATATGCAAACAGATTTAATATTAGTTATCTATTTTAGAATATTTTTTGAAAATAATAATTTATATTTAAGAAAAATATAGATGAAAAAATATGTTTG